CAGTATTATACAATAATACTGTTCCGGCTTACGTACAAATTCGACTTAAGGACAGACCTTGCGAATGGAATTTATTCTTAAACTGGGGACCTCCTGTACTTTTAGATGTTTTGGAACTCAAGTATAAAGCCATTTCCAGACTCAAGTAGAAATGCTGAAGTCAGTTGCAACCAAAACAGTAGCTTTGTGGCATCTGAAAGACTAACGTATTTATCTCTGTGGCTTGGATTCGTGCCATTATCCCCAAGGGAATATATTTCGTGCACAGTTGCAAAGAAGCAGTTATTTAAGCCTGGTGTGTCATGGTCATGAAATGCAAGAAGTACATTCCTATGGTGGTTTGGTGTAGAAATATATAGGAGAGAAAAGCTTAGAGCTTTTATCACCACAGCAGTAGAACACCATCTGTTTGCTATGAATGGCTGCTCTGGGCCATGACAGTTTTATTGGTTTATTATTTATTTAAAGACCCAGTTTGGTGCTCTTACTTTAGGTTAAGGTACCAGGCTAGAAACTGGGAGACTATGCGTTCTAGTCCCATCTTAGACATGAAACCAGCTGGGTGACTGTGGGCCAGTCACTCTCTCTCAGCCCTAGAAAGCAGGCAATGGCCAACCACTTGGGAAATCTTGCCAAGAAAACTGCAGGGACTAGTCCAGGCAGTTGCCGGGAGTCAAAACTGACTCAAAAGCCCATATACAAAACAATTAAAAATAAAATTAAACAATTTATAGAGCTGCTCATCTCACCCATGTGGCTCTAGACAACATGCAGAGGGCTAGCAACTCCAAAACAAAAACAAAATTTGCAAAAAATGAACTTTCAGAAACAATAATATAATACATGCCCTGGGATGAAAAATTATTCCACTTCCAATCAATACTGTACGGTAAAAATGAAACCAACCAGCCTTGCTTAACTTCCCTTCCCAAATGCCTGAACATCCAGGTCTTTAATGCCTTACGAAAGGCCAACAGGGTTGAGACCTTCCAGATCTCTGGGGGTATGTTGTCTACAAGGCAGGTGCTAGGATAGAGAAGACCCAGCTCCTGGGTCCTGTGAGATGACCCTGCCTAATAGACAGGACTTGGAGCACGCCCACCCCACCAGCTCTAGTGGGGCAACCAAAGATATTTGAAAAAAGATGGTTGTGCAAGTACAGTATCCTGTGCCACGTAGTTAAAAACACTGAGTTTGTACCTCAATTCTAATTGCAGAGAACATGAATTCTAATTGCAGAGAGCATGAAATGTTGAGTTTTCATTCTTCTCATGGGAAAGCAGCATAACTAGATAAGCATCTGATCCAATCCAGTAAGACTTTTACATCAGCTGTATTCTCACAGACATATAGAATTCTCCTAGATTATTCTTGCATAATATGTCTATTTGGGCCCAGTTTTTGCCAGCTTTTTCTCCATGTATAGATATGTACATATGTACACACACACACATGTTTGTAGATACCATCTGCCATCGAGTGGCTCTGAAGGAATTCAGTCACGCCGACTTTAGGGCAAAACACCTTCTCAGAAGAAATAGGTTATTCTTTAGGATGCACCAAACATTTTTCTTTGCCAGTGTCTTCCAAACAGACCCAGATGATTCAGATAATTCTTGGCGCCCACCGAAGTACCTCTCTGCACCCAAACCTCAAAAAAGGTTTTCAAGGGAGATGGGGAGGATGTCTTGAGAGTGCATATTTATATAAGTGATGAGAATGTAAATATACCCTAAGCTTTTGGAAACCTAAACAGATGGATTACTTTGGAAGAGATATAGCTACCTTGCTTGTCTGCGCTGCTTTGATTAGGACCTTCTGCTGGATACCTCAATGTCAGGCCTCAATTATGTTGGGTAGGCTAAACAATTTGCATGGTGATGTAAAGGCTGGGAACTGCAACAACCCTGTTTTGGAAGCTCTCACTGGTAAGGCTAAATGGATCTATTCATTGCTGGAATGAAAGAATCGTAAAAGCTTGCATAAATGCATAGGAGCAAGACTCAGGAAGGGGGAGTGTGGGTGGGGAAAGAATCGGTTTGCTTTGGAGATATGAGGATAATGGATGACTTAGTCATAAGCTGTAAGGAAGTAGAGATGGGGGGGGAAAAAAACTTTCAGGAAGCTGAAGAAACTCAAAAGCTTCCTGGTGCAGGACCGATATGCTAGGATTATATGTTCCCCATTTTTAGAAATAAGATTCTTGCAGCTGAATTAATAATGATAGTCTCCTTTGAGTTGACTTTGACTTCTGGTGACTCTGTAGATGTATCCCTGATGTTTTCTTGCCATACAACAGATGTGGTTTGCCACTGCCTGTTTCTGGAGATAGACAGACAGACAAACAGACTTTCCAGCCTACATTATAGTCCTGGGATTTTCTGGGAATCTCCCATCCAAGACCAGGTGCCACTACGTGGTGAGGCTGCTTGTCCCTTTTCTCCCCCTATAACTGTGTGTAAGTGTTCTTCTACAGTGGTGTTTAAACTTTCTGACTTCTAAGCTTAAAAGAACCAAGTAATATAAAGACATTTCTGCATTGAATCTTAACATCAGGGTCTTGGTGTCTATGTAAACCAAAAGGGATTCCTTTTCCAAGAATGATGGCCTCAATGTCATCTTAGGCAAATGCAGAGAAGAAAGGGAAGGGGTTAGAGGAATTCTGGCAACTCAGCTATTTCCCACCCACAACCAAGCCCAAAGTACATTAGGGCAAAGATATCTTCTTAACTGCCTTTCTGTGAACTGGTGAAATGGAGGACCTTTTCACTGATCACGTGGGGCCATGCTGCTGGTGGTTCATAAAACCATCTCCTGAATCTTTATAAGTCTGGGAACCAACTATTAAATCCAATATGAAAAATCTCTTCAAGTTAATAAGAAAGGTGTTTTTACCTTCATACTTGACAAACAAGGAATCTGATGGGGGAGGCTGAGAATGTCCTATCAAAGTTATATGAGTGAAGGCCTCTTTAGCTACCTCTTCGTTTGTACCTAACATCTTCTGGCAACCTTTGTGTGTGTGTGTGTTTTCCTGCCAAGTGTCCATGATACTGCCTTCATTTCATCACCAGCCCATGGCACAACAGGCTTAAGTTGTTTTGAGCTGTTGCTGGGTTAAAGTAGTATTTTCCTACTTATTCCAGAAACAATCAGGAAAGTCTTAAGGTATGTCAAATCTGTTAGGTTTTCCCATCCTTGCAGGGGACTGCAATGGTTGGAACAGGAGCAGGAAAGGGATTGGCAGTGGGGTGGGCAGTAGTGTGTTTATATCATTTTTGGCTGGGGATGGGTGGATAACAAAATCATTTGGTAGTGAGCAAAGGCCCTTTGTCACAGAGGACAGGTGAGACAGTACCCCTCTACGTAAGTTAAGACTTCTGGTTGGACTCCTGAAATTGAAGTTAGACTCCTGAAACTAAAGTTCCTTTCAGATCAAGAGCTACCATACTAGATCAGAACCTTTCCTCAACATCTTCTTTTAAGTAAGTTCAAGCTTGTTTTTGTTTTAAATAGCAATTATTCAGTCCTAATTTAGTCCCTTTACAGCCAGGAGCTATCTCAATGCACCACCTTCTTTACAGTTTCTAAATAGAGTCATGTCAAGGAGACCCCAAGCCTGGGAACATCTAGAAGTATGGTAGAGATTTCCCACAATCTTTCATGATCAATCCTTTATCATTATTCCTTGGAATTTTTCTCTGGCAGAAAAAGTCATTCTCCTGTTTTCAGTGGAAGTCCCATGTTGCTATTTATTATGCAGTCCTGGGAGTTTTTCTGAGAAATGTAGGTCTGTAGTTCTGTTTGGAGCTATCTGTGTTTATCTCTCACACATGGCCATAATAATGTCAGACTTGAGAGACAAAGATTGGAAGAGAGAAGATCTCCCTGATCCAGGAGTAGAAGGACCTACAGCCAGGCTTATTGCTTCCATCCAACTGGGTTCGGTTCCCCCCCTCCCCCCCATTTCTATTGATTGACTTTACATAGTTTTATGCTGGTTTTGAACCTTAGTGCTTTACAAAATAGATAAAATCATAGCCATTTTATGCAGAATTACCTTAGTGTAAAACAGAAACTGGACCAAAGAGGTCCACATTCTCTCTCTTCCATGAGAAAATAGAATAGGTGTATCATCTAAACAGACTGTTCTGAAGATCTGATTTTTTTTTTTTTTAGGTAATTTTGGATAACTAAAGCAGAGGTCCTAGCATTCTTTGTCAATTGCCCAAGAAGGCTGTCCTGAATTAAGAAGTTCTCCATCCGAACTCCTAGCTGTGTGTTACACTTACCAAGTGAACAGTAGCATAGGGTCAACTAAGTCCTAAGTATTGAACGTTTCAGAAAGTTCAGGATGCTTCCCATTCGTTGACCAACTTCCTCATTTTTAAAGAAGGTGTTGATGTCGATACCTAGGGTAGGCTTTTCCCTTCAGGACTAGACTTTCCACCAAAAGTTGGATGGATTGTGAATTTCTAAATGGCGGGCCATCAGGAAGAAGCCACATGAAATTGGATTGAGTGCTAACATTCTTGGGCTGTCTCACACTTGCATGGCTCCTGAACATTCCAAGATCTCCGTTACAGTTTTACGTCACCAGCTCTTCCGTTCTCCTTGTAGGCTTGAGTGCCTGTTATGAAATCCCAACATAGCTTCTGCATCTCGATTCAGTTTCTAGCGCTGGCCAACACTTGCTTTATCTCCTTTTCCTTTAGACAGGCTTATCAATGTAGCACCAGCGAGCGATCACTTTTATCCAGGACTTGGCATTTCTCAGATGGCTACTTAGTGGACTGAAAATTTATGGACTGATGCAAGCCGACCCTAAATTTCAGGTACGTTCTTCTTTCCCTTTTTGCAGGACTTTGAAGTAACAGCTGCCGTTCTTAAGGGCATCCAATGGTTTTTAGCTGAAAGATTTCCTAAAGGTGGGCACAGGTTACTTACGTGTCCTTCGTGTACCCCCTTTAACTGCAACTCTCTTTAATTAATTCTTTGTCCCCATGTTTGCTTCAGTGCTTGGAGGATGTCTGCATGTGTGAAATCTGTCCCTTTTTCATACTAGGCCATAAGAAGAACTAAGCTGAGAACCCATTCTGGGCTTCTGACATTTAGGGGCATTTAGTTCCAGTAGCGGAGGCGGCATATCCTAACAATTCAATTAGTTTTTTATAAGAGTGGCCTCATTATTTCTCTGGATTCTTGGAGTGACATGTGTGCGCGGGTTAAAAGCAATGGATATGGGGGCAGAGAGGGGAAATTCCAGCGGTGCTAAGAGCCGCGGAGATGGTGTTCAAATCGCACAGGCTCCGCTTGTTCATTGTAAGGTAACCAGTTGGTGTTGAGTCACTTGTCAGAATGGTGTAATTTTCTCAACTGTGTGCCTGGAACATTTTGTAAAGTATGCCTTCGTTCCATTTGGAATTTGTTTTCTTTCTGTTGCTAAAAATCAGATGAACTGAGCATGAGTTGGTTACAGCTTGTAATCCAGCTTGGAAGAGTTGGTTTAGCAGCCTTTAAAACCTGAGTCTTCATCTCAGAGCAGTGACACAGTGACATCAAGCTAAAGAAAAGGAAAGGGTTATAATTTGTTTTCTTTTCTTGGGCATCCGTAGTAGACATCCAGCCTTTCTCAAATGAACTTCTGCTCCCATTCTCTCCTGTTTTAACTTCCAAGAGAAGGTCCGTTGTAACAACCAAGGGTTTATTGCTTGACTGCTGATGTTGGGAGCAGAGGGTCTAACCGATTGCTTTTCTCATTCATTGTAGGTGTGAAGTAAAAATGGTGCAAAAATATCAGTCGCCTGTTAGAGTCTACAAGTACCCTTTTGAGCTTGTGATGGCGGTAAGTGGCAGATTTTTCTCTTTCTGTAGTTCCTTTCCTAGCTCTTTGGTTGCACCAAAAATCCTTCAGAAGCCTGGTTTTTGTAGCGTTCATTTGGGCTTCGATGTTGACGCCTCTAATATTCTTTGTTTTAAGGTTTCTTTGTTCAGTTTTAAAAGGTTTTGTTTCTGAGGCTTTAACTTGTAATTTAAACTCTTTCCATGACGTGCCATACTTTAGGGGTGTGCTTTCTAACTTTTAACTGCTCGGTAAATCAGCCCCAAATTGATTTGTGGCCAATGTGCAAAAAAAAAAGAAGAAGAAGAAGAAGAAAGAAAGGAACCTTGTTTTAATTTGGAATCTTGTGAAAATTATACTTTTTGAATATTGCTGCGTCTCTCTTTTCTAAATGTTAAGTCCTATTAGAGGGCAACATCAAGCCATCTGTACCCATTCTAGTCCCTAGAAGAACATCTTTCCTTAAAACGTCTCAATTAGATTAGAATAAGTCATTCTCTGCCCCTTTCCTTCCCCATCATATCTTTCTCCAGACTTGGCATCATGCTTGTGCCATCTAAAAAGCACTCTGGTCAATCCTGTTTTCCCTAAAACTCACTTGAGAATTGGACCTTGACAGGCCCTTTAAGAAAACAACTTTAGCCTTTTCCAACAGCTGATCTGAAGCGCTGTGCACCATCTGGCTGAAAACTATCCTGGCGTGAAATTTGCTCTCCTTATTCCCCATCTCTATCTTGTCTCCATTGACTCTGTGACAAAACGTAACAGATTTTACCCACCTGGAGGCTGTCCTTGAATGGTACTAGAAAATAAGGGGAATATATTCCTTTAATGCTAGTATGGCTAAGAATGATTTAAGGCTGGCTCACTCTTAGATGAGAAGAAGGCAAAGTTATGACTATCTGGTCTAAGACCATAATCAAGATTGATTTGATTTGGACAAGGCAGAGAGAGAGAGAGGCGGCCAGGTGTAATGGTATGTGGGAATGACCTTGGGAGACCAGGCGAAGAGATGCTGCCAAGGGAATGGTCAGATAAGAGACAGCTTAGCCCTTGGCTGGATAGTGGGAGGGGCAGGAGGCTCAAAAGAGACCCTCCCTAAATTCTCAGGCTGTAAAGGAGATGGGGGGGGAATTGGACTTTCAGACTTGGAAGAT